ACTTCTGCCACCTATCCAGGTCCTTATGTTCTTTGATAATTTTTCAACCATTTCTAAAGTGCAGCAACCCATCTCCAACTTTGTTCTGCAAACACAAGTCTTGTTGACGTCAAATAGCCTGGTTCTAACTGGAGAATTTCACTTGTCATTTTACAAACTATAGCTTGTTCCTCCATTACATACACTCACTCACACACACACACACACTCACACTCACTCTGACAAACACTCACAGCCTGTCCTACACTCAGATTCCAGCTCCTCCAACGTATCCACCAATCTTTGAACCTGGCCATTCATATTGGGAGCGGGATTAGCAAAACGCATGGAATCTTGAGCTTTGGTTTGGCTCCAACTACAGCCTTGAGTCCAGTTCTGGTCCCCATACTATAGGAACGACACACAAGGGTCTGAAAGAGAGAGTGAAGGAGATTTCCCCAAATGGTTCCAGGGATGAGAGGGCATTAGTGACGAGAAGCTGGGCTTGTTCTCCTCTGAGAAAAAGCGAATGAGGGGAGATTTGATAGAGGTGCATGAACTAGGAACAGGAGCAGGCCATTCAGCCTATCAAATGTCCCGCTATCCAATACGATCATGGCCGATCAATCACTTTACTGCCTTTTATTCACCAGATCCTCAAAACCCTGTACACCACTGGGAATTTCTTAATTTAATCTCAAACATGCTCAAAAACTGAGCTTCCATATCCCTCTCTGGTAGAAAATTCCAAAGATTCACAACCTCCAAGTAAAAGACAAAACTTTGCTCATCTCCGACCTAAGTGCCATCCCCATTATTTTTAAATGGTACCTCCCACCGGTTCTAGACTTCACAACCAAGGGAAACATCTTTCCTGCATCTACCGTGTCTATCCCTTTAAATATGTTGTGAGTTTTGATGAGATCACCTCTCATTCTTTGAAACTCTAGAGTATATGGACCTAGTTTGCCCAATCTCTCTTCATAGGACAGTCCCACCATTCTGGGAACAAGTCTGGTGAACCTTCACTGCACTGCCTCTATAACAATATCTTTCCAGGGATAAGGAGATCCAAACTGCACACACAGTACTCCAGGTGTGGTCTAACCAAGCTCTTGCATAATTCAAACAAGACTTCACTACTCCTGTACTCAAACAAGATGTATGGTAAAAGGGGGTAACATTTAAGATTTTGGGACAGAAATACTGCACGGACGTGGGGGATGCGATGGAAGTGGAGGTGATGAACAATTTCAAAAGGAAATCTGGCAAACTCTTAGGGGAAATAAAACTACAGTATTGACAGGGAAATAGCATGGGGAACGGGACTGACTGGATCACCCTACATAGAGCTGGCGTGGCCCTAGTGGGCTGAATGGCCTGGGTTGTAAATGTCTCTAAATCAATTTAACAGATTAGATGGCTTCACTCGAATGGCTTTGAAACAGGATCCTCGTCCCACTTTGGATCTAACAGCCTTGCTGGGTTTGATGTGATTGTAACAGTTTGAACAGGACGGTCCTGTTTGGCTGGGATGGAGGGGAGTTTCTAGCTCTTGAGTTTTGATATTAAAGTCCTAATATAAGAATTAGTGTCAGCACTGCAGTCTGGTTCGACCACAGGAAATTTACATTTAGCAGTTTTGGATGCAATAAACTTACTTACGCTATGCTTTTTAAAAAAATACAAATCTTTCCAAACAGGAGCATGGTTCTCCTATTTCTCAACAGATGTACAAGTTGTGTTGCAAAAGCTGACATCTCCTACAATCTCTCTTGCTTTCTCCATATCAAGACATGAAAACCCAAACTATAATAATTTTATATAAACAAAAAGCTAAACGAGTAGACAAGAAGGATGAGCTCGGAGCTAGGTGAAAGAGAATAAATGGGAACACAGGACAGAGACAGAGAGGGGAAATGAAGATGAGAACAAGGAGTTTGAAATGAACAACAACAATTTGAAGAATGAAGAAAAAGGACAAAGTGACTGAAGAGAAAGAGAGATACATACATTAATCAAACAAGCAGGAAGAAGGGTGAATGCAAAGGAGGAGAGGAAGTAAAGGAAAAAACACCAAAAGAGAGACAGAACAGGAAGTAGAGAAAAAAGGGAAAGGACGGAAGAACCAGAGAGAATACAGTGAGTGCAAGAGAGATGTAGAGGGTGGATGGTGTGAAAAAGAACAGGTATAAGGAGTAAGGGGACGTGAGAGGATATCAAGGAGTACGGGAAAAAGGCAGGAGAATGGGGATGAGAAACATATCAGCCATTGTAGAGGTGACTCAATAAGCTGAACGGTCTAATTCTGCTCCTGTACTTTATGGAGACAGTATGTGAGAAAGTCTCAACTGAACTTGCAGCAGCTGAATGATAGATGGAGTGAGTGTGAGAGTGGAGGTTTCAGGAAGGTGCGAGTGTGACAGCCATAGCAAAGATGAGCTAGGATCAGTGCACAGTACCAGCTTTCCTGAGATGGAGGGCGTGTGACAGACTGAGTGGAGGTGTGGGGGATGGAGTGAGTGTGGGATTCCATACCAGAAAACAGCAGTTGGCCGAGAGCTGGAGTTAGTGTGAGTGTGGAAGTATGGGATATGGAGAAAGTGTGATAGCGTGCACCAGAGAGGACCAGTTGCCTCATTCCTAGGTACCATCTCTTTGAGGATGGAGTGAGTGTGAATGGAAGCATAATGATGAAGTGAATGTGAAAATGGAGTATAGGGGATGGAGCGAGTGAAATTTCCTTTATTTTATCCGCCAGAATTTTCTCACGCCCCTCAACTAGTATCGTTTTAAAGTAACTCCATGCACTTTCTGTACACATCCCAGGTTTCTGAGCCCTCCATCTCTAAATAAGCTTCCATTTTTCTCCCATATCCAATCATGTATAATTCTCAACATCCGAGGTTCTTTGGTCTTGTCGATCCCACCCTTCACCTTTACAGGAACATGTTGGCCCTGCACTCTCACCGTTTCCTTTTTGAATGTCTTCCACTGTAGATTTTCATGAAGTAGCTGCTTCCAGCTTACTTTGTCCAGATCCAGTTTTATCTTCTTAAAATTAGTCTTTCCCTGATTTCAAAACTTTTATTTCTGATCCATCTTTGTCCCTATCCATAATTAGCTTAAACTTTACTAAATTATGATCACTACTAGCCAAATGCCCAGCTTCGTTCCCTAAAATTAGGTAAAGCAATATCCCCTTGGAGTTTCAACATTATAGAATCCCTAGGATGTAGAAGTAGGCCATTCAGTCCATCAAGTCCACACCAACCTTCTGAAGAGTATCCCAGTCAGACCCAACCCTGTAAACCTGCAATGCATATGGCTAATCCACCTAGCCTGCACATCCCTGGACATTATGGGCAATTTAGCATGGCCAATCCACTCTAATCTGCACATCTTTGGACTTTAAAACTCTACCTCTGGACACATTAAGAATTCTGTCCCCTCTAAGCCTTCCACACTTTGTCTATCCCAGTCAATATTGGGCTAATTGAAATCCTATTATTATTACCCAATTATTTTTGCACTCCTTTAAGCATTTGCTTCATATCTGTCTTTTTATCTCTCCCTGTTTGTGGAGTCTATTGTATACTCCTAACAATGTGACTGCTCCTTTTTGTTTGTAAGCACTACTGCCTCAACTGAAAAAAACATTCTAAGATACCATCCCTCCTGACTGCAGCAATTGATACGTTGATCAATATTGTAACCCCATGTCCTACTTACACTCCCTCTAGTCTCGGCTGAAGGGTCTATCCCCGAAATACAGACCTGCCTGTCCGGTCTCTCCCTTAACCCTGTCTCTATACATCCCCATACTTTAATCAAACACCTTTACTCACACGATTCATTGCAGTAAAATAAATGCCTTCCAACCTTGCAATGTTCCCTTGTGACTTAACTTGACAATATATACTCTGCCTTCCAAACTGACTTGTTATTTCTGTCTGCACATCCTCCCCCATCGTTCCTCCACTCTGTATCCCATTCACCTGCCAAATCATTTGAACTAGCAAACACCCCATATTTCCACAAGGATATTGGTCCCATTCCTGTTCAGCTGCAACCCACTGGCTTTGTACAGGTCCCACCTTCCCCAGAAACACAGTTGGTGATCCAGGAATCTAAAAACCTCCCTCCTGCTCCAAATTTTCAGCCAAGCAATTATCTACTCTATCCACTTATTCCCATACTCATAATCCAGAGATTATAACCCGTTGGAGCTTCTGTTTTACAATCTGCTAACTAGTTCCCCAATTTCTTGTTGTAGAACCTAATGCCTTTTTTTAAAATCCATGTTGTTTGGTAACGACGGAGTTGGCTCAGTGCCCAGTACCAGCTCTCCTGAGGACAGACTGAGTGAGAGAGTGGAGGTATAAAGAATGGAGTGAGTGTGAAAGTGGAGGCGTAGGGGATGGAGTGAATGTGGTAGTCTGTACCAGACAGCAACAGTTGGCTCATTGCATGGCACAAGCTGTCCTGTGGATGGAGTGAATGTTACAGTGGGAGTGAAACAAGTGGAGGTATAAAGGATGGAATGAGGGTGACAGAGCAAGTGCAGGGGATGAAGCCCCAACTGGACAACAGGAATTGGCTCAGCTCTCCTCAGAGTGTGACAGTGGAGGCATTGGGGATGGAGTGTGAAAATATTCAGGTTTTAATGATAAGGGCAGAGGAGTGTGAGGTATAAGGGAAGGGTGGAGGAATGTGAAGGAGAGCTACTGAGCAAGTGCTATACCCAAATGCAGGGTGACTGCCCAATACCAGCTCTCTGGAAGATGGAGAGGATGTGAAGGATGGAAGTATTCGGTTGAAGGGTTGCGGAGTGTGAGGTAGTCCAGTGAAGGGTGGAGGACTGTGAGGGGCACAGGGACAGATGGGGCAGATGGGGATGAGAGGCACAGGGGCAGACGGGGGTGAGGGGCACAGGGGCAGACGGGGGTGAGGGGCAGACAGGGATCAGGGGCACAGGGTCAGACAGGGTGAGGGACAGATAGGGTGCCACAAAGCCGTACCCAGCAGCAGGGTGAGTGCCCGGTACCAGCTCTCCTGCTCCTCGGGGCCCGCCGCCGCCAGGCACACGCTCTCGCTGCGCGTGTACACGCAGAGTAGGTAGCGGGAGCGCGCGTCGCGCCGCTTGTTGACGGTGAAGCAGGCGCTGAGCGGGAGCGCGCGGCGTGGGCCCGCGCCCCGGCTGCGGAACTTCTTCTCGCTGTCGTAGAGCTCGAGGCGCGCCGGGCCGCTGTCGCTGTCCGCCCGCAGCACGCAGTACCGCCGGTGTAGGCTCTTCCATTTCCGCAGCACCCCGCACTTCCTCACGTCCGATTCCGGGCCCGGCTCCGCCATTCCAACCGGCCGCACCGAATGCAAAAGAAAAACCCGCTGCCGTTGGCCCTTCGCCGCTCCTTATGCCCACTGCATTCCCCCACCCCCTTGCCTTCTCCGGCCTCCCGCACCGCTCCCTCGCAGCCTTTGCAGAAATTCCGTTTTGCACACACCCCCAGCTGCTGCAAATAAAACTTTGCAATAATCTCCCCTTGTTTTGCAAAAGGAGAAATCTCCTCCTCCAGGTTGTCTGGTTGCTGTCCTGTTAAAGCGCCGCCGCTTCTGGCGGAGAGGTGTGTGCATGTATACACACACACGTATACACTGTGTATCTGTGCATGTGGATTTTTTCTTAAAGCTCCGGCGAGGGTTTGCATTTCTAAATAGGGAGCCCAAGACAGACAGACGGAGAGGGAGTGGCTCAGCTCCTTGGGTCCTAGCGCACTCTGCTGCAGAGGAGTGCGCAACCAGTCATGAGAAGGGTACCCCTGCGACCTGAGGATCCCTGCACCCTATGCCCCTCCCTCTCACAAGCAGTGACTGAGGTTCACTCTCCTCCTTCCGGGTGCATTGGGGTCCGAGATTGCTCCCAACACGTGGGCAAGGGGCACTGGAAGAGTGTGGGTGGGTGGGTAGGGGTCGCTCACTCTTCTCCCACGCCTCAGGTACACCTTCCCGTCTCTCAGAGAGTTTCGGAGCCTTCCCTCAGGAAGGGGCCCTCATTCCGGTGGGCCACGAGGCTGGGTCTCCCATGAGGTGGCCGGGGTAGTCAGGTCGGGGCTGGGGGTGATGTTTGACCTCTCTATGGAGGCTTTGAGGACCTCCTTAAATCGTTTCTAGGTCCCCACCCTAACCACCCCCCCAGGAGTCTCCACCCCAGGGCCTTGTGGCAACTCATACAGACACACGCATTCAACATTGGCAATGCCAGCCTCCAAATCACCTACTCACCACTTAATCCATGCAACGTTTACTCGCGAAAATCCCACTGAGATTGTCCCAAACATGGGTAAACTGAGAGGGGAAGGGAGTCCTGGACGAAGTATCAGCTCACTAAAGTTCAACCTTATGACCTTTGTGTAAAGCAGGCTTCTTTCTACATTTATTGACCAGCCCAAATTGTCTCTGGAGCACTGGGTCTGGAGACACATGTAGGCTTCATACCAGGTCAAAACAGCATAAAATGGGTTGCCAAACCATATTGGATTGTTTTTCCAAGGACAGCCAAGATGGTCACCATTCTGGCCAAATTATATCCCATTCAAATTCACCCTCAGCCACAATGGATTCAAACCCATGTCTCCAGCAATGTGGATTTGTGTGAAAGGTAATGTCACAGTAGTAACCCTCAACTAAATAGGCACTACCACACCGTAAGGCTGCTCTCTCATAAGAGAGAGAGAGGTGACTGGTGGTTGTTTAACCTGAGAGTCACCACATCTCAGGTGAGGGAGAGTCCTTCATGGTAACCTCAGTGCAGGAATTGAATCTATGCTGTTCGTATAACTCTGCATTGTAAGCCAGCTGTCCAACCAACTGAGCTGGATTACTAGTTCTTTAAGCACTACAAGCCCCAAAGTGTCTACTTTCTAAATCCCGACTGGGACCAAGTCTCATTCAAATTTCTCCAGTGCCCTCCCGCCCCCAGCTCCTCCACCCCATTCCCTGTAACCCGCTTCCAGCCCCACCATCCTGCCAGACCTTTGCAGCCCTTCAATTCTACCCTCTTCATTTCTGTTAGATACCTGGCTCTGAACTCGGGGATTCTGCCCCCTCCCTCCTCTTCCAAGACACTCCTGAAAAGCTGCTTTTCTCTTGGCACTGGCCATGATATTCTGTACAGTTTGAGACGTTTCAGGGTCATTGACCCTTGCAAGCAGTTGATACCAGTAGTGACCCAAAATCTTCTCAACCCGACCATAATTGATCAAACTCTGATTTAAAATTTCCACATGAACATTCTCAATCTCTACAGGTTATTTTTGGTGGGGGGAAGTGAAAGTGAGTTCCAAATTTCCACCCCCTTCATACAAGGAAGAGTATTCTGATGTCGATGTCAACGCCCCCGCCCCCCACCTGCCCCAGAAGAGCTTGAGCTGAATTTTAGGGTTCTTCCCCCTCAGTGTAAACTCCAACCCCCAACTTGCTCTCTCGCCACAACTCCCACTCCCCACCCCCACACATGCCCATTCCCCCCCATGCCAATCACCCACTCCCCCCAATTACTTATTGACTTACCACTGTGTCCCACATCTCACCCCCACTCTCCTCAATCCTCACTTCTCTTTCAGAGGTAATAATTCCTCACTATTGACCCGTTCCAATCCTTTAATTATCTAAAACACCTCGATTAGAACGAACCCTTAATCTCTGTCCCCATGGACGAGGGTATTGCGGGGTGGAGGAAGGAGTGGTTGCACAGGGTCATGTCACGAGGCATGGGTCTGGGAGAAATGGTGGTGTGGAAGGGTTGGGAAGGGAGATGGTGGGGGGGAGCTGTAAAAGTACAGAATATGCTTCAGGTGACAGATGGTCTGGGTAAAGCAAGATTTGGAGACTTTGTTGTGAATTCCCATGATGAAGGTAAAGTTGCCATACTGTCATCAGCTCATTAGAGAGACAGCTGCATTGCAAACCAGCTGTCCTGCCAACTGGACCAACCTACCCTCTGATAAGGTGCAAAACAAACACGAGTTATTGTTGATAGCCCCAGTGTGTCAACGCATAAGGGAACTCTCCCACTTGGCTCCAGTACAATACAGCCATCATCAGGTCACCCCAGAAACTGTTCAGAACTGTGTAACCCATTTCAACCCCATTGATTGGAGGCTGGTTTCGAAAGGATGAAGAGTTGTTTTAACCCCACCCCTTTCTCTGGTTCTGACCAGGATCCGGATGTACCCAGACAGGCACTCCCTCCCGGTAGTGCATCTCTCACTCTGGCCATTCCTCCTGTGCTGCTGCCTCCTCATTCAGGGAGCCCAACGGGCAAGTAACTACACATTTCCAAGCACTAGGACCCAGGAGTCTCACACTGTCCAGCGTACTACAAGCAGGGCCGTGCCTCTCTCAGCCAATCAACATCATTGCTGAAATCTGATTTGCCCAAAGTCTGAGCCAATGGCAGCTGTCCCCAGGAAATCCACTCAGACCCGCTCAGAGCTTTGGGGAAGTGATTTTAAACAAACTTTTAATTTCAGCCACTTAATATGTAACATGACTCAATGTCTGTCACTTTGTGACACTGGGGTAGAATACTGGAAGGGTCCGGTCTGTCACTGTATAACAATAGGTGTACAGTACTGGTGGGGACAGGTCCGTCACTGTATAACACACAGTTAGTGCTGGGAATATGGTTCGGGGGGGGGGGCGGATCTGAGGTGTGCTGCACGGTCTGTTCCACGGGATGTGCACCAAGACAAACATCAACTGCGCCTGGAGGACCATCAACTCGGTGAAAGGCGCTCTTTGGTCAACCCGATCCTTGGTGGTCTTCCAGAACAAGAAGTTGACCCCGAACAAGTTTTGCAGACTGTCACATTTCAAGGTCCAGGACAACGTACTGAGAGACGCAATAAAGCCTGGGGCAGCTGCCGCTAACGTGCAGTCAGGGAAGACCACTCTCTGAGGTCTTCCTGCTGAAGGTAAATGGGGGTTCATTCAGTTCTCGGACCCTCCTAGTGTATCAAATACATGTAAATTATGTGTAAGAGAAGTCTTTGGTTTGTGTATAGTCAAACTCCAATGTTTTGTGTTTACTTGATATGCAACTCTGCAGAAAAGAACTGCTTTTGTATCTATATATATACACAAAGATTTTTTTTATGAAGAAAGTAAATTTTTGAAATAACGAAAAGAGTGCACCAAGTCTTCACAGACAGTGTGGCCTTCCACTAGTTCCTGTCCTCTATCACGGAGGTCTTAGGACTGAAGCACGTAGGAGAGGCTGGATCAGTCATTACCCCTGGATGAGCTGACCAAGGCCCTCGAGTCCTTAGAAAAGAATAAAACTCCTGGATCAACGGCTTACGGCCGACTTGTATTTGGCTTTGTGGGACTTGATTGGCCAGGACCTGCTGGAGGTGTACGACAATATGCTTCTGGCAGGTACCATAAGCGATTCCATGAGGATTCATCACCCTCATCTACAAGCGGAAGGGGGAGAGGGAGGAAATTTGAAATTGGTGGCCAAAATTATTGCTGAATGCAGACTAGAAAATCCTGTCGAAGGTCATCACCAATCGGGTCAGGTCTGCTCTGGGACTGGTGATTCACCCTGACCAAATCTGTGCTGTTCCTGGCAGCACCATCTCTGAGAGCCTGGCGCTCCCCAGGGATACGATTGCCCAAATGCAGGACAGTGGGGTGGACACCTGCCTCATCAGCCTGAACCAGGAGGAAGCCTTTGACAGGATATCACACACGTACATGTGGGATGTGCTCTCCAAAACAGGCTTTCAGGAGGGCATCTGCAATTGGATCCGACTGCTCTACACCAACATTGTTAGCACAGTCTCAATCAACAGGTGGGAATCAAAAAGCTTCTCCATCAGATCCAGAGTCAGGCAGGACTGCCCACTCTCTCCTGCCTTGTTTGTGTGTTGTATTGAGCCCTTTGCTGAGTCCATCAGGAAAGATGTGAGCCTGAGAGGGGCAACTATTCCAGGCAGCAGAAGCCTGCAGGTCAAATCCTCCCTGTACATGGATGACACTGCCATTTTCTGCTCGGATCTGCTGTCAGTGTGTACACTCATGAGCATCTGCAACCAGTTCGAACTGGCCTTGGAAGCCAAGGTAAATCAAGGCAAGAGTGAGGTCATGTGGGAACTGGGCCGACCGATTCTTCATTCCCTTCACCATCAGGACGGATTACCTTTCTGAAGGTACTGGGAATATGGTTCAGAGGGTCCGGGGCGTGCAGACATTCTTGGGAGGAACACATCGCCAAAGTGAAGCAGAAACCGGTCCTTTGCGAGGACCGCTCCCAAGTAACAACCTGGTCGTCAGGTGTGAGGCATTTTCTCTGTTGCTGTACGTGGTGCAAGTTTGGCTCATCCCCCAAAACTGCGCTGTTTCAGTCACCTGAGCCATCTTCCATTTCACCTGGAAGCCTAAGAAAGACCAGGTCGCAGGGACTCCACGTACAAAACTCTGGATGGATGGAGGGGAAGAATGTACCCAATGTTGCCCTCACCCTGATGGATACATTTGCATGCAGCTGCATCAAGATGTGCATAGACCCGCAACACACAAACACCAAGTGTCACTTGTACTGAGGTTCTACTTGTCCTCGGTGTTGTGAAGGATGGAACTGGCTTCGCTGCCGTGGAATGCTCCAAGTAGTTGGACTATTCCATATCACCTATCTTTCATAGAGAAATTTGCAAAGAGAAAGACTTCTGATCA